GTGGTGGCGGTGAAAATTCTCGTTTATTGCTCACTCAATTGCTTTGCAATTTGCCCAACTTGCGTTTCTAAATTCCTGATTGACGCGTCTGTATTCTTCTGATTTGCCATGGACAACTACATGATTTGATTCAATGTATCCTCTAATTTGGAAAGCTTGTCGGGTTGAGTGTAACTTTGGTACTGATTATGCCTGTTTTGGCCATAACTTGTGTTATTGTTGTATACATAACCTTGTTTGTTCTGGTATGGAACATGCCTTTGCTGCTGTTGATTTCCCATATAATTGACTTCTTCATTGATTGGAGGGAAAAATCCAGTTGGATGATCACCTGTACATAGTTCACAAAGAGCCACTTGTTGCGTTTTAGGTGTTTCGTGCATCTGTTAGAGCTTTTGTGGAAGATTTGAAAGGTTCTTTGCTAATTCTTCCACAGTTTGAGTAAGAAGTTCGTTTTTTTCTAAGATCGCATAATTCGTATCCAATTAAAGAACACCATATTTCTTTGGTGTTGTACCTTTGTTGTATTGTACATGATGATCACTGAGAGCCATGCGGTTGATAATAGACATTGTTTCTTCTACGCTTTTGGACAGTAAGGAACCATCAGATGTTGCGTCAAGTAAAAGTTTTGGTTGCGGTTGTAGTCCATTATGGAACACATGAATTTGCGTGAGATTATCGAAACCATGATTTATACATTTGTGCAACATAGATTTGTAATGCTCTCAAGCTTCAGAGTGTTTATGTTGTACTTTGCGTGAATACGGCTATTGTTGTTTTTGCACCCAAGCTTCAGTAGGTTGGCCAAGGTACCAATCCTTTACTTTTCCGATCAAGGAATGCAGAAACAATCTCATGAAGACAACCTCTTCTTCGACTTCGGATGCACCTAACGTACCGGCCAACTCATAGAATTTTGTGAGATGGATGTATGGATCCTTGTGATTCAAACCTGCAAAAGGGTTAGCGTAAATAATCTGTAGCAACCTTGTTTTCATTTCAGCTTGTCTTGCAGCTGGATTATTGTTGAGGCGAGCCATTCGCCTTGGACTGCTTCCGCATGAACTGTTGACAACTTCGACCGTTGTTTCATTGATAGGATGATTTGTTGAGGAAGTTGATGTAGAAAAGCCTTTGTGATTTTTATTTTTGGATAGTTGTTTCTATTTATTCATTTGTCTCTTGTTCTTTCGACTCGGGATCAAAAATAAGTTTTTCTTTCAAACTTTTACCTCGGAGCATAAACAGAACTTTTACCTCGGGAACAAATGATTGCGAAAAACAAATATATACAATATATAATAAATTCACAAAAATTAGAAGTATAGAAATGATTGTGATATTTTAATACCTTAAACGCCAATCCCCGGCAACGACGCCAATTTGACGTAGAGTAAAATAAAATGTAAGTATTGTGTATTATCGTATCCGCGGGGATTGGAGCGATATCAAAATCGTTCAACAATTTCTATTATTCTAAGCATAGGTTTTCAAGAAGTTTGATAAGTTACGAAAAGTAAAATGCATAAAATAACGAAAGGTAAGATTCAGAGAAATAGACTTGTTGGGAATTGGTGTTCATTCACTGATTCAATATGCAAATCTCATATCAGTTATACATAATTTAGGCATGCTTCATTATCATCACGTATCACACACAAACAAAGTTCATGTCTAAACTTTGATGAGATTTATTACCTTATGGTTTAATCGATGATTTCTCAGTCTATTAAACAATACAGTAACATTACGATTTGATACTTTTAATGAATATTAAACCTAAATCTATGTCTAGCATTTAGAGTTTAATAGTTGTTATCTTGGATCGAGATTAGAACTGTATTTGTCAATATCAATTCAATCCATGAAATAAACGGTAAAACAAAGATAACAACGATAATGATTCAAATATAAATTGCATATATCACCATGATTAAAGAAAATACATACTGTTTCGACGAACTACGACCAATCCCAACAAGAGAGGGATTTATCTACTCATGGTAGCTTGAAGCACAATGGAAGAATTGAGTTAAACAAGCATCAACGATGATTTCCCGACTCTTGATGCATATCCACCTCTTCTTCCTCTAATCCTTACTATATATATTTCTATTACAACTACAGAATGTATTACAATTGATAAAAACTAGAATGCCTTTGCTGAAATAAATTTTGGTCTATTTATAGCAGTTCTGGCCGACTGAGTTCGCTAAGCGAAGTCTTACTTCTTCATTAAGTTTTCAATCAACTTGTATTCACAAAACCGCCAAAGTTCGCTAATTGAAGTTATGCTCGCTTAGCAAAGTTACTTTCTTCATCCTGAAGTCTTTTCAAAATATATTCCTTTAACCATCATGTTTCGCTAAGCGGAGGCTCGATTCGCTAAGCGAAATGCTTCGCTTCTCCTTGCTTCTAGAGCAACTGGTTGATTTACTTTTGTCTTGGTTTCACTAGGCGAACTATGACTCGTTAAACGAATTGGTCTTCTGGATTTTGTATATTTTTGACTTAACTTCGTTGGAGTTTGCTATTGCTCGCTTAACGAAGTGTCTAGTCGCTGATTTTTGCTTTAAGGGCCAAACCCTGTACAAAAGTAGGCCAAATCCAAAGTAAACATGTACAAACCCTATATATTCAATAATTGTGGAGTTTATGTAAGAAATTTGTCATTTATGTAAGATAAATGCCATGTTTTAATGTGATACTTTACTATGAATCGAACATTCATCAATACTTCCTCCAATGATGACCCAATCGTGATATCAAAACATGGTTCGAGTAAAGGATCATCTCCTTGTATAAAAGTCTTCCTGACATGGTAGTGGTCAAACGACGTGTCCCGTTGAAGTGTCCATGACGTGGTAAGAGTATCTATCAATGGAAATACAAGTATACAGATGAAAGAACTTTTGTTTCAGGGGGAACATAGTGGATAAACTCACACTTGAGAGGAAGATTATTGAGAAATAAATGTGAGTTGTGTAAGTCCCACATTGCATGAAAAAATAGAGGTTAAAAACTTTATATATGAGAAGACTAAAATATCTATTACCTTAAGATTTTAAGTGAACATGTAGTATCTCTCTAATTTATTTAGGTGAATCTTTAATCATTAGGTGAGTTTTTGACCAGATTTAGACGCTTCTCCCTCATGATGACCTAACAGACGAATCCTTACATTAGAATAATATAATACACGATCTATTATCACTTTAAAACTGCTTTGGCTTAAACAACTCTTTGAGATCCTTTGATATAGCTCTCAACACTTTTATGGTTCTATGTCATAGTGTATCTGCAATTAATATGGCCACAAATCCAACTAGACATGCAAGTTCAAAGCTTATTGACATAGACGATCATTTAATAAGGAACCATGTTCAAATTGGTTTTATCAAGGTTAGATATGTTAAACTTCAAGATCAATTAGTAAATCCTCTTATAAAGATACTTCCTAAAATTCATTCAACACTGTTATTTTCAAGTTGGGATTGTTGAACATATATCTCCCCAGTGGATGATGGGGCATCAATATGTGCATTTGAGCTTAACTAGCTCTATTTCTATTATTGTATCTTTTTAATTTGTCTTTAAAAATTAGTTAGGATTAGGGATGACCATCGAGCATGCTCGCCCCGTTAGACCCGTCTTGTAAAAGTCTGTAAAAAAACAGGCGGAGTGGAACAAACATAGTTGAAAATGAGGGTCTAAAATTTAGATTCGTTCTGCAAAAAAATGAGTATGGGGCGGAGAAAATCCATGACACTATACTTTTTAAGCTTAAAAATGCAAAATTTTATACTAATTTTCATGCCTGCAAAAACCCGCGAAAAAATGAAACGAGATGGAACAGAAGCGTTACATTAGAGAGAAGACTTAAATTTTTGATCCGCTCTACACTAAAATACGGACAAAACAAATATGTCCAGCGGATCGAACCGTTTTATCACCCCTAGTTAAAATAGTGGTTGTTCAGTTAAAAATCTTAATCAATTAATATTAAACTGACTATTTAATGATTTAACCTTATATAATTATGTGAGAAATTCAATTCAATAAAAATGAAAAGAGATTATTCTTCTCTAACCTTCGGTATATTTTAAGTTTTTATTCTAAAAGTAGTTATGACTTTTTTGTCAATACTATGAAGTACTATGTTACTCTCTTATTTAATTACCATATTTCATAATAGGCGCACTTACTCTCCACAAACTTTAATGTAGAAAAAAAAATTGCGAACCAAACAAATTAAATATCTAACATAAATTTCACCTTAAAAAAAAGATGCTGCTAACCAAACTAATTAAATATCTAATATAAAAATATTTGTTTTAAAATCATGAAATCATCCTATTAAAATGAAATATTGTTTTCTACAATATTAAAATATACTCCTTCTGCTCTTTTTTTTTTTTAAATATTTTTTTTATAGATTTTATTAAATAATTAATGATTTAATCTATAATACAGATTAAATATATTAATTATAAAATAAATCTATAAAAAATGAATTATTTCTTATAAAAAAAGATCAAAGAGAATATTTTACAATGACACAAGTTAGTAGGACACAAACAAATTATGCATCCAGTATAGTTTGAGCTTTATAAAATATTCATTCAATGCTTGGTAGATTTTCTAGAATAGTTTTATGTAAAAGAAGATTGATAAATTCTAGAGTGAAGGATGAAAATAAGAAGCCGTCATTTTCCGACCTATCCTTGCAATCTAATCCGTGTGCCCTTTTTCCTCGAAACCTCACAAACACAATACACTCTCTCTCTTTGTCTCTCCTTCAAAAACAAATGCATTACACTCATTAGTCACCACCAGCCTTGTCTCACTCTCTCTCTCTACCCTCTCACTCTCTCTCTCTCTAGAGTGCAAAAAATTCTATTTCCAACAACGAATTCCCTGTTATCAAAACCAGCAACAACTCTTATTGCAAAACACTTCACTCTCTCAACAAACACAGCTGACTTATATTACATGGAATGACAGATTACCGTTCACTGCCGACAATGAATAATACTTGGACAGATTACATGGAAGCTTTCATGAGCACCACCGACCTTTCTTCTATCTGGCTTCCAACAGCAAACTCCGCCGCATCAACCACAGCACCAGGACCCGACACAACCAAACCTCCACCACAACAACAGCCTCTCTTCAACCAAGAAACTCTCCAACACCGTCTTCAAGCTTTAATCGAAGATGCAAAAGAGAACTGGACTTACGCCATCTTCTGGCAAACTTCCTACGACTACTCCACAAACAGACAGCTCCTCGGTTGGGGAGACGGTTATTACAAAGGCGAAGATGACAAAGAAAAAGTCAAAAAGGTTATCTTACCTGAACAACAAGCTCACCGAAATAAAGTCCTCCGCGAACTTAACGCCTTAATATCTGGCTCTTCTGGCTCAGATGATGTCGTTGACGAAGATGTCACCGACACCGAGTGGTTCTTTCTCACGTCGATGACACACTCCTTCGTCAACGGCACAGGTTTAGTGAGTCAGGCTTACTTTAATTCTTCCCCAGTATGGATCACTGATGATAGGCTTTCCATGTCCACATGTGAAAGAACCTGTGCAGCACATGTCCACGGCCTTCAGACTTTGGTATATATACCGGCACCCTCTTCAAACGGTGTCGTTGAGCTTGCATCTATGGAGATAATTCCACATAGCGCTAATATAATGGAGAAGGTTCGTTTTCTGTTTGATTTCAATAATCCAGAAGCACGATCCTTGCCGTTGAATTCCTCCGACAACAATCACGATCCTTCTTCCATATGGCTGGATATCTCCGGCTCCGGTGCCACTGAAATTAGAGACTCCGTCAACACTAGTAGTGCCGTTAGTGTAACCGCTTCAGCAACTGCAACTATTACTAAAAATTCGCAGTTTGAAATTCACGGTGGTTCTTCTACTCTACCGGAAACATCCACCGCCGTTAATATTTCAACTTCTCAGCGTCATAATAATCAGAATCAGAACCGGAGCTTCTTTCCAAGGGAACTAAATTTTTCAAGTTCTTTGAAACCTGAATCCGGCGAGTTTCTGAACTTCGGTGAGAGTAAGAAGAGTTCTTACAGCTCTGCCAATGGTAATTTCTTTTCCGGTGGTCCGTCACCGTTCACCGCCAACGACGAGAACAGAAAAAAAACGTCTCCGGTGTCTAGAAGTAGTATCGACGACGGAATTCTTTCATTCACTTCCGGCAAACTGTTACATGCTTCAGCTATAAAGTCCGGCGGAGATTCCGATCATTCAGATCTGGAAGTTTCCGTGGTGAAGGAAACTATCAGCAGCAGAGTAATCGAACCGGAGAAACGGCCACGAAAGCGAGGTAGAAAACCGGCAAACGGAAGAGAAGAGCCTTTGAACCACGTGGAAGCAGAGAGACAGAGACGAGAGAAACTGAATCAGAGATTCTACGCATTACGCGCTGTGGTTCCGAATGTTTCTAAAATGGACAAAGCTTCGCTTCTCGGCGACGCGATTTCTTACATAAACGAATTGAAATCGAAACTACAAGGGCTTGAATCATCAAAAGGTGAATTGGAGAAAGAATTAGATACAGCCAAAAAGGAACTAGAAATTGCGACCAAAAAACCAATTCTGTTGAATGAAGAAGAAAAAGAGAAAACAAACAACAACAAGTCTAAGTTAATTGATTTGGACATAGATGTGAAAATCATGGGATGGGATGCAATGATTAGGATTCAGTGTAGCAAAAAGAATCACCCTGCGGCGAAATTAATGGCGGCGTTAAAAGAATTGGATCTTGATGTGAATCATGCTAGTGTTTCTGTTGTTAATGACTTGATGATTCAACAGGCTTCTATTAACATGGGAAGTAGATTTTACACTCAGGAACAGCTTTTATCTATTCTTTCTTCCAAAATTGGTGATACACAATGAGAATGAATGCTGGGAATTTTCTCTATTATGTTACTTTTTGTGATATTTAGCTAGTAGTAGTACTTTTTATTAGCTTGTTTTATTTTTTTGATGTAATATTATCAGGAATGGTAGAATTAGCGGACATCGTTTCTTCATACCCATATAAGGCGAATGTCGAAATAGTAGGTTGTATAGGTTGTAAATCGGATTACTTCAGCCTGATATATAAGAAAAATGATAAGTTTCACGGTTATCAAGAAAAATAATCAAGTATATTTACTTTTTTTTAATTTCATGTAAGAAAAATAATATAATTACACATATATCCTTAATGAAATTGTCTAACTCATAACAATACTAAGTAATTAAAGTAAAGATAGTTTTAGAATAATAGCATTAAATGTGCCTAAATTTGTTGACATTTGCTTATATTTAAAGTTAAAAAATTTAAAAGATTTTTGTTTATAAATAAGATTGGAGGGAGTATTCAATAGAGTCAAATATAATAGTTATAATAGTGTCTCGAAAGTATGTTTTTTTTAGCTATAACATGTATTGTCGAATTGGGCATGTGCATTGTATGCTTATATAAAAGACTTATTAGTTTGTAATTTCAACACAATTAATCCAATAACAAATTCAGTTAGAATTACAACAATCTCTCTCTCTCTCTATATATATATTATTCTTCGTCTTCTTTCATAAATCATCTTTCTTAAAAAATCATTTGTTCCAACAAATTCGTATAATAGAACTCGGTTGCGATTCAAATAGAATCTAATAGCAAACAGAACAACAACGTCAACACAGTTTCCAGCGAATCTACCGATTTTCAAAGGAGAAAATTATCAACGATGGGTTGCGCATATGAAGGATATTTTCAGATTTCAAGATGTTGTTGAAATCTTGAATGATGGATTACCAGAATTGGAAGCAAATGCGACGGAGGCTCAGAAAACTGCGCACAAAGATCAGAGAAAGAGAGATGGTATACATTATTCTTGATTCATCAGTGTGTGAATTCTGATGTATTTGAGAAGATAATTGAAGAAGAAACGACAAAAGGAGCGTGAGACAAGTTAAAGAACTTGTATGGTGGAGATGAGAAATTGAACAAGGTGAAGTTGTAGATGTTAAGGAGCAATACGGGATGATTCAAATGAAAGAAGATGAAACAATTTCTGCATATTTCTCAAGAATTATGATGCTAACAAACCAGATGAAGGCATGCGGTGAATCAGTTACGGATATGCAAAAGATTGAGAATATGTTACGATATTTGACTGTAGATTTTGACTACATTATTGTGACAATTGAAGAGGCCAAGACTCTATCTGAGATGAAGTTGGAAGAACTTCAAGCTTCATTGGAGGCTCATGAAATGATGTTGAGGCAAAGAAACTCAGAAAGAGAGAAGGTGACTGAACAAACATTGCAATCAAGATTCAGCAAGAAAGTTGGAAAAGAGAAGTCGAAGCAGCGGAAGAATCTTGCTAGTGATGAGAAGTCAAGCAAGAATACTGATTCGATCAAGAAAGGTGTGGGCAACAAGTATTTTAGGGAGAAAGTTGACACGAAAGAGGTGTATTATTACAATTGTCAAGGTTTTGGTCACTATACTCGCGATTGTCAAAGAAAAAAAGTAGTGGGGGCGAAAGATACTGATGAAGCCCAATATGCACGAGTTGGAGATAATGATTTTGATAATGTGCTCTTGATGGTGAACACTCAGTCAAATATTGAGAAAAACAACATGTGGCATCTAGATTTAGGACACAACAACCACATGACTGGCAATAAAAACTGGTTTACCAAGTTAGATGAGTCAGTCGAAAAGATGATAAAGTTTGTAGATGGAAGGAACATCAAATCAGGTGGTAAATGAGATATTTCGATTGTCATGGAGGATGGTTGAAAGGCCAATATCACTGAAGTATTGTATGTACCTTCTTTGACAAGTAACTTGATAAGTGTAGGTCAATTACTTGTAAAAGGTTTCAATATGAAGTTAGAGAAGAATTAGATGAAGCTATATAGAGCTGATGAGAGGCTAGTAATGAAAGCACCATTGAAGGAAAATAAAACGTTCAAAGTTGAACTCAACACATTAGATCACAAATGTCTTATTTCAACTACAGAAGAAGACAAGAACTGGCTATGGCACCACATGTATGGACACCTAAACTTTAGAAGTTAATGCATGCTCAATCAAAAAAGGATGGTGTTTGGGTTGCCTTATGTGAAGGAACCAAAGCAGGTGTGTGAGGAATGTTGCAAAGCAAAACAGACAAGGAAGGCATTCAAACATGATTTTTCATGAAATCAAAGCAAAAACTAGAGTTGGTTCATTCTGATGTGGGTGGACCTTTTGAAGTAAAGTCAAATGGATGTAACATGCATTTTCTTACTTTCATTAATGAATTCACCAGACATATATGGATTTACCTTATTGAAAGGAAGAGTGAGGTATTCACACAGTTCAAGATGTTCAACTTACATGCTGAGAAACAAAGTGGATGCAAATTGACGAAGTTGAGAGCTGATGAAGGTGGTGAATATACTTCTGTTGAATTTGCTAGATTTTACAATGAGGAAGGTATAGAGCATGAGGTTATTGTACCTTATACACCTTAGCATAATGTAATAGCTAATAGAAAGAATAAAAGTATAATGAACATGACGAGAAATATCTTGGAAGCTAAAGATATGCCTAAGAGATTTTAGGCTGAAGCAGCTTCGATAGCAATATACATTCTAAATAGGTGTCCAACAAAGAAGATGGTTGGAAGAACATCTTATGAGGCTTGGATATGTTCGAAGCCAAATGTGAGTCATCTTAGAGTTTTTGGATTAATGTGCTTCAGGCATGTACCTGAACAATTGAGAAAGAAGCTGGATGATCGAAGTAAGATAATGATGCTTATAGGTTATCATTCGACTGGTGCATACATGTTGTATTCGCCAAACAAAGATAAATTAGTGATCAGTCGAGATGTTCTCACGGGCGAAATCAAAGGGTGGGACTGGAGTCAAGGTTCAGTTCAACAAGAATTAAACACAGTCATAACTTTGTTCAAAGAAGATCAACAAAATGAGGCTTCAACGAGTCAAAATGAATAAGGTGATACTTTAAATAATCAAAATGAAGAACCACCTGAGCAAAATGAAACAAGGTCGATAAGAACAAGAATTGAGTGGACAAGGCTAGCTGGATATGAAAGATTTCCAGATCAAACAGTTGATGCAGATGGTGATTTAATCGAAAAAGCCAAGATGATGGCTGAAGCAGAACCAATTGACTTGAATGAAGCCATGAGTAATTCAAATTGGTGTGAAGCCATGAAAGAAGAACTCAGAGCTATTGAGAAGAACAAGACCTGGGAGCTTGTCGAAAGAACTCATAAGAAGCCAATCGATTTAAAGTGGATCTACAGGGTGAAACGAAGGCCAAATGGTGAGATCACGAAGTATAAAGCAAGACTGGTGGTGAGAGGTTTTCTTTAAAAACCTGGTATCGACTTTGACGAGGTCTATGCACCTGTTGTAAGGCTAGAAACAATCAAAATTGTTATTTCAACAGCAGCATATAGATGATGGAAGATGCATCAGTTGGATGTAAAATCAATATTTTTGAATGATCCATTGGAAAAAGAGGTCTATGTTACTCAACTACCAGGATTCAATATCAAAGGGAAAGATTCGAAGTTTTATAGATTAAGGAAGGCTCTATATGGTTTGAAACAAGCCTCTAGAGGTTGGAATAAGAGAATAGATAGCTTCCTGATCGAATCAGGTTTCATAAAGTGTGTCTCTAAACATGTAGTGTATGTAAATGATGTCAACAGTGATAGTCAAATAATTTTATGCCTCTATGTTGATGACTTATTCATTACTGGAGCAGACAAAGCTGAGATAATGAAAGTAAAGTCGAAACTAATGCAGGAATTTGAGATGTCCTACTTAGAGAATCTTTCATATTTCCTAGGGATGGAATTTAAAGATACTGAAGAAGGAGTATTCTTGCATCTGACGAAGTATGCCCATGATATAATGAAGAGGTTTAATATGAGCAAATGTAATACAACTATCACTCTATTAGAAACTGGAGCAAAGTTGAAAAAGGAAACAAATGATGAGTTTGTAAGTTCGACCCTATACAAACAAATCATTGGATCCTTGAGATATCTTTGTAATACTAGACCCGATATCTGTCAAAGTGTTAGATTGTTGAGTCGATTTATAGAGAAACCCCAAGAGTTTCATCTCATTACGGTAAAGAGGGTGTTGAGATACATAAAGGGAATAATTGATCATGGTGTGTTGTTTCCAAAGAAGTCGAAGAACAACAAAAATATTGAAGTTCATGGATATACTGACTCAGATTTCAATGGAGATCAAGACGGAAAAAAGTATTGCAGGCTACATATTCATGATCGAAGGTGCTCCAATCTCTTGGAGTTCGAGGAAGCAAAGTATTGTGAATTTGTTATCATGTGAAGCAGAATACGTGGCTGCATCATATGATGCATGGCAAGCAGTGTGGATCAATATGTTACTTGAAGAACTCAAGATAATGAAACCTAAGAAGATGGAGTTGTTTTTCGACAATAAGTCAGTTATTGACCTTACGAATCACCCAGTGTGTCATGGTCGAAGTAAGCACATATAAATAAGCTATCATTTTCTGAGGGATCAAGTCAACAAAGGGAAGCTGGAGATAAAGCATTGCAAGGCATAAGTACAACTAGTTGACATATTCATCAAACCTCTAAAGAAAGTCAGATTCGACGAGTTAAAGAGAAGCATCAGGATGAGAAGTCTCGAGAACATGAATTAGGAGATGTGTTAGATAGTATAATTCTTGTTCAGTCAAAATGTCAAAGGACATAAGGTGTATGTCAAAATAGCCCGTTGTATAAGTTGTAAGTTGTATTCGACAGAGTCAAATATAACAGCTATAATAGTGTCTCTAAAGCATTTTTTTTGGGGCTATAACATGTATTGTCGAATTGGGTCTG